ATTTACAAGACTATGTTGAATTAGTCAACAAACTCCAATGGCATACATGATGCAGTACATCCTACTGTCTAAGGGTTAATAAGAAAACAGTCCAACAAGTTTGTAGATTTGGATTTCCAAAAGAATTAAGAGAACAAACTATTATACAAGATAATGATCATGGTCAACCGGAATTACTAACAGTTAGGAATGGTCCTTATATAAATTCACATGACCGTTTTCAGCTCCAAGGATGGAGAGCGAATATAGATTTAAACCTATACTTACTACTTATGCTGTGTTAAAATATGTATCAAAGTATGCAAGTAAAGCTGAGCCCCGTTCAGCATCATTTTCTGAAGTATTAAAAAGTATTCTTGCTCTTGGTAAACCTAATGACCCATCTATCAAGTCTTTTTAAAAATTTTTTCTCTATACGGTAGCTGAACGTGATTTTTCAGCTCAAGAAACTTGTCACCTCCTGCTTAGTATTCCTATATATCATTGTAGTAGGATATTTGTAACCTTAAATCTTAACAATTAAACTTTACAATGTGTTCATAACAATAGTAAAGACTATAACAGTAGTGAAAATCACAATAGCAGTAAAGACCGTAGTAATAGTAATAATAATCATGAAACAACAAATACAATGAAAGCAGGATACTCATCTTTACAGTTGTACTGGACTCGACCTACTGAGCTTCAAAACATATCACTCTTTCAGTTATATTTAAACTACAAATATGTAAAGGGAGAATGGAAATGCTATACAAAAGACAATATTGTGCATATCTGGCCACAACCATCCCTATTACAGAATAGGTCTAATTGGGAAAAATTTTGCTGAATGAAAGTTCTCTTGCATGTTAGTCATAGAAACATCTTACAACTCACAGAAAATAAAACCTTTTCATGGAAAGAGCTTTATGATCGCCATTTGCAAGAAATCGAATCTGGACCTACTGATTTACTTGAACCAGCTGTGGATGCTCTCGAAAAAGAGAATGATAGTGACAAATACCAACTTGATAAAGAGAATGAGGATGAAATGCGATCTGACTAGATGATCATAGCAGAGACAAGTCCCGATACACTAATGTACGATTCTTTAGATCTTGGTTTACACAGTATTGACCTGAGCTATAACTGGGCTAGAAAAAGTAAAGAAAGATATCCCACTCTTATGGATGCAAATGCCTTTATTCAGCGAGCATGTAATGAAAATATTGAAGACTATGAAATAAATAATTCTATTGATACTGTAATTGATTATGACACCTTAAATGAGAAACAAAAAATAATTCTTGATAGAATAGAATGTAATTATATTGCTAAAATATCAGGAAAATGCGTAGAACCATTAAAAATAATCATTATAGGTATAGCTAGACAGGAAAGTCTTATCTTATAAAGACAATTCAGTATAAACTTAATGAAATTAGTAAAAAATATAATCTACCCCAACCAATTCTCATGCTTGCTCCTACTGGGGTCACTGCCTTTAATATTCATGGCTCTACGATTCATTCTATATTATCAATCCCAGTAAACGCAAAAACCTTCGATCTAACTGGTAAAAGTTTAAAATGGCTACAAAATAAACTAAAGTGGGTAAATTATTTTATAATTGATGAAATGAGCATGGTAGGACGACGTACCCTTGTATTAATTGATCTGAAATGTATCAAGCATTCTCTGATTACTAAAATATTCCATTTGGTGGCCGCTCTGTAATTTTTGTCAGAGACTTTGGACAGCTTCCACCTGTCTGTGACCTTCTTATGTATGCGCAAAATTCTCGTCCTTCTGATGCTTTATCCGAAGATAGACGCACAGCTTACACTCAATTCCGAGAAATTTACAAACTTGATATTATACAACGACAAGTTGGCAATTCAGAAGAGCAACGTCAATTTAGATCTCTTTTACTACACCTCTATGATGGTGATTCTACAATTTTAGACTGGGAAATGATTATGAATAGACTACCAGAAAAATTGACTCTGCAAGAACGTGAAGCTTTTTCAAACACTACTTTTCTTCTACCAAAGTGGGACACTGTTAATAAGATAAATGCTGAAAAATTGACATCTTTGAATCAACCTATTGCAAAAATATGTACTGTTCACAGTGATAATCATGAGGCTCCAAAGGCCAATTCCAATGCTGCAAAAGGTCTAGAGGCTGAATTGCTACTCGCCATAGAAGCACGTATAATGCTAACTGCAAATATCTGGACTTCTGCTAGTCTTGTAAATAGTGCTATGGGTATAATTATGGATATTATATATGATAAAGGGCATAACTCTACTTCACTACCTAACTCAGTTCTGGTCGCATTTGATGATTACCATGGACCTACAATTACTACTCCTGAAGGTGTTCAAGTTGTACCAATAGCTCCTATTAGAAGAACTTGTGATAGAAAGTTTGGCACATGCTTTTGCCTCCAAATTCCTCTAATACTTGCATAGACAATCACAATACATAAGTCTCAAGGATTAACTCTCCCTAAAGCTATAATAAATATTGGAGAAAGAGAGTTTGCAGCTAGCCTCTCATTTGTAGCAATATCACGGGTTCGATCTATTAGTGATCTAATCTTTAAGCATTTTACCTTTGAGAGACTTCAATGTATTAAAAAATTCACAAGGGTGTAAGAACGAATACTAGAAGAGAAACATCTCATAGATATAAGCACAATTTTTAATTAAATTCGCATGTAATAAGACCATATGAATTTAATTAATTTATTCTCATAATCTGACCATATCAACTTTTAAACGTCTTTATAATTGAATATAATTTTTAAAAATTGGATTATTTATTTTCTTATAGCCGGTTTACAAGCCATTTTAAAAATTAAGATTTGAAAACTAATTATTTAAATGTTTGTGATCTAAAATATTTGAGAGAACAAAACTTTACATCACTAATCATAATAAGATTACATCATATGAACCTAATTCACATTGCTAACTTGCCTTTAAATACTTATTTTACAGAAGTCAATATCTTTTACATTTATAGAACAGATAGATAAGTATACCAGTATAATATTTATACATTTATGTCAAAAAAAAGTTTTTTATTAATATATTATAAATTCGTAGATTTACTAAGGAACCTTAAAAGTTTGTTTACTAATACGAAGCGGCGCTCCAGAACCTAACAGGTCCCATTTTCCTAGTTATTGATAATACCAGTGCGATCATATGAAAGTGTAATATGAAATGTGTGAGAGATGGTTTTTGTTTAACTTTTTTGATTTTCCTTATGCTGATTTTTGAAAATCCTTTTTTAGTATAAGTAATGGTTTTCATTTATTTTTTATTATTTTTTTTTTTTTTGGTGTTAAGGTGAGGCCTTGCTTATATCTTTATTAATAATTTTTAAAATAGTTATAATATAAATTACTACAGCGCAGTTACCGAGGCTTCCACTTGTGGTCAGAGCTAACCATTAAACCACTATATGTAGAGATTTACAATGCTACTACTATTTGTACCAGTACAAATAAAGTTAAAATTATATGCAAGAATAAGAGCTCAGAC